GGTGAGTCCTGGGACACGCCTCGGGGGGGAGTGGCCCATCAGGGCAGCCTTCAAGAGGGGGGGGGAACGTAACTTTCCTCTGCTTCCACAGGAGACGACACTATGCGGATGTCCCACCTCAAAGTGGGCTCTTCCGCCGATATCCCCTTGAACATCACGGAGACGGATCTGAGCCAGCTGACGGCCACTGTGGTCCCGCCTTCTGGCCGCGAAGAGCCTTGTCTGCTGAAAAGACTGCGCAATGGTCATGTTGGTGAGTGGGCGGGGCCTTTGTCTTAAGACCATAAGAGAGAGGCCATGTTGGGTCAGGCCAGTGGCCCATCCAGTCCAACACTCTCTGTCAAACTGTGGCCAAAATCCAGGGGCCATCTGGTGGTCCACCAGCAGGGCCAGAGCTCCAGAAGCCCTCCCACTGTTGCCCCCCCAAGCCCCAAGAGGACACAGCATCCCTGCCCCATACATAAGAACATAAGGGAAGCCATGTCGGATCAGGGCAATGGCCCATCCAGTCCAACACTGTGTCACACAGTGACCAATACCCAGGTCTCATCAGGTAGTCTCCCAGTGGGGCCAGAACTCCAGAAGCCCTCCCACTGTTGCCCCCCCAAGCCCCAAGAGGACACAGCATCCCTGCCCCATACATAAGAACATAAGGGAAGCCATGTCGGATCAGGGCAATGGCCCATCCAGTCCAACACTGTGTCACACAGTGACCAATACCCAGGTCTCATCAGGTAGTCTCCCAGTGGGGCCAGAACTCCAGAAGCCCTCCCACTGTTGCCCCCCAAGAATACAGAGAATCACTGCCCGAGACATAATGTTCCATCTGTATGTTGTGGCTAATAGCCACGGGTGGACCTCTGCTCCATATGTTGATCCAATCCCCTCTTGAAGATGTCCTTGCTTGTAGCCGCCACCACTTCCTGTATATCTGGGACCACTTCCTGTGGCCATGAATTCCACGTGTTAATTACTCTGTGGGTGAAGAAGGGACTTCCTTTGATCTTTTCTAAACCTACCGCTCATTTATTTTGTTGAGGGCCCACGAGTTCTTGTATGGTGAAAAGGTGGCGGTGGGGGAATACTTCTTTCTCTGCATGGTAACAGGAACTGTACACAGTATTCCATATATGGCCTCACCAATGTTCCCTCTAAGCTATGGAGCCCCGTGAGCAAAAATTCTATTTTGTGAGTTATTGGCATTAAAGCTGTGCGCAGGAGATTTGGCTGCTGCATAAATTAGCCTGTTCTGGAGCCATCTTTCCTGAGCTAAGACAAAAACGTGTGAGCCAGAGGCTAAAAAACTGTGAGCTAGCTCACACTAACTCAGCTTAGAGGGAACCCTGGGCCTCACCATACCTTTATACAGGGGCATTATGACACTGCCTTGTTTGTGTTCAGTCCCCCTTCCTAATAACCCCCAGCGTTGCATTTGCCTTTTTTTATTGGCCTGGTTTACTCTTCGAGTCCAACTGCCTCCCGCGCTAACTGGCGAGGAATCCAGGACTTGGCGGACCAAGCAGTGTTCTCTTTTCTCCGTTCCGCAGGGATTTCCTTTGTCCCCAAAGAGATCGGGGAGCACATCGTCAACATCAAGAAGAACGGGCTGCACATCCCGAACAGCCCCATCACGGTGATGATCAGCCAGTCGGAAATCGGGGACGCCAGCCGTGTGAGGGTGTCGGGCCCAGGGCTCAGCGAGGGCCGCACCTTTGAGCCGTCCGAGTTCATCATTGACACGAGAGATGCCGGTACGAACGAGGCTTTTAAGCCGGAAAACCTTGGGGATTTTCCTTGCCAACTTGCGTTAAGTTTGTTTTCTTTTAATCTTGGAGTTGAAAAGTACTCCTAGGCAGGGGTCGTTTCGTAGAAAA